TAATATACACATTTAATGTCAAAAATTTCCTTCAAAGTACCATGTTAGCTGTATATGACAAGTCTTAAAATGGTGGTTCTATGTTGCATTTGATTCTAAGTATTTTTGTAATTTCTATTCCAATATCTCCTTTTAGACATAAATTAACAATGTATTTTTCAGTGTTTAGATGTGTTTTTTAGTCTTGTTATTGTTGTCTAATTTTATTGTATCAAGGTTAGAGAACATTGAATACTACCGATTCTTTAGTGTTGATTTATTGAACCCTCTTGTGAAGTGGTACGTGTTCATCTATAAATATTCCATGGGCACAGGCTTCTACATGCATCTATTATATTAGGGTTTCTTAATACATTGTTCGAAATCTCTTTCTCTACTAACTTGTTGCTAGTGTTCTACTTGGTCTATCAGTTTCTTAGAGTATTGTCATAAAATTTCCACTAAGATTGTGAATTTTCAAATTCTTCACATTATGTCACAGATTTCTGTTTACTTGTTTTCTTTCCTTCCAGGCTATGTTGTTAGGTGTATGTAGCTTCAAGATTTTTGTATCTCTGTGTATCGTTTCTTTTATTGTCTTGCAATGACAATCTTTATCCCTAATAAAGACTTTTCTTAGTCTATCTTGTCCATATTAATATTACTTCACTACACTAGGTTTATTTTAATTCCTATTTGACAATCCATTCATTTATTTTCAACATTTTCTGTGCTCTTATATTTTAGATGTGTCTTCACAAACAGCTACAATTGGATTTTTCTAAAAAATGTGTGAGATTAATCTACTTATATTTACTATGATTACTGATAAATTTATGCCACTTGGGCCTATTTTTACCTTCTTCTTTTGTGTTTCTATTTATTGTAATTTTTCTTTTACTGTTTTCTACCTTTCTCCTTCTGTTGAATTGATTAGGATTTTTTGGTATATATCCCCCTCTACTGGTTTAGAAGTTATGCATTCTACTTCTACTCTATACTTGTTATTCTTAACATTTTTAATATGAATATTTGACTTTTAAATGCCTACCTCTGCACTGTCCAATAGAGTAGGGCCACTAGCCACATTTGAAATTGGATCAACTGAGCACTTAAATGTTTAATTTTATTTAACTTTAATTTAGAAATTGATACAAAATCCAATTATTAAAAAGCTTTTAAGTATGTTTACAAAATCTGAAAATCCTTTTTTAACTCTAAATTTTGTAAACTCTAAATACAGATAAAATACTTTCAGCAGAAATTTGGCATCTAAATTGGAATATGCTATAAATGTAGAATACACACCACATTTGGAAGAGTTGGTCTAAAAAAAGGAATACAAAATGTTTCGATAAAAAATATCTATAATGATTACATGTAAAAATGATAGTATTTTGCATATATTGCCCTAAATAAAATGTTATTAAACTAATTTCACCTGCTTCTTTTTTAACATGGCTACCAGAAAATGTTTAATTATAGGCGTGGTTCAAATTGTATTTCTGTTGGACAGAGCTTATCTGGAGTGAAAAGTGCAAGTGCCCGGCAGTCTTAATGTTCCGATTCTCCCCAGTCTTCTCTTCCAGGTGACTGTGTTCAGTGTTAGTTACCGTATTGTATGAATATCAGCTCCACCTCATCCTTAACACTCCCACCTTGGTTACTCCTCACTCAGGCACCATGATGCTCAGGTTTACCAAAATGTTTGCCAGTTGCTCGGTCATCTCTGCACCCAGCTTCCCATGCTTCCTTCAGAGTTATCTCTCTTCTTCCACCTTCTGAAGCCATACTGCAGGCTGCATTCTCTCCCAGTGTCGCCGAGAACCCAGGCCCTGGGCAAAGACCCCTTGCCACGGCCTCCACGCCTGCTCCACGGTGGCTCCTCCAGCTCAGGGGGGCTGCCATGTGCAGCAGCCACAAGAGGCTGGCCCAGCCGGAGTGCAGACAGGAAAGGGCACTCCAGAGACGCACTCGGCTCAGCCCCCACACCCCCCATGTCCCTGCGGCTCCAACTCGGAGTGGGGATGGGGATGGGGCAGCGCCTCGTCCATCCCCTTAATCCCTTCCCAGAAAGTACATCCGATTATCCAGGCACAGCCTCTGGGGCAAACTAGGGGCTTCAGCGTGTCCGCCGTGTAGGCCCCACCTGACCAGGGCTGAGGTCCAAGCATCATCCTCTCTCCTGGGGGGTGTCAGGGGGCCGCACCCCGCTCCCCAGCTCTGCTCCTCACAGAAACGTCCCAGCCCAGTGGCCCAGTGCCTGGACCAGAGTGAGGGGAGGGGACGCTCATTGCGCCTTAAAATTTGCACCCAAGATAACTCACTTGCCTCACCTTATTCCCAGTCGTGCACCCACAGAAGCATGTGTTTCCTGTGAATGTTACGTAGGTGACTCTTCTGGACGTCCTGAAGTGAACGGAGCCCCTCCTTTCAGGACATCCTCGGCCCCTGTGCTGCTCATCACTGCTGGAAAGCCCAACAGCTCAAACCGTGTGCTGCTGGCGCCACCTCGTGGCCAATACTGCCAACTGCAGTCAGGATTACTCTACCCTTGTGAATCAGCTCCGCATTTCTTCTTCCAGTAACGGGATCCTTTTCCAAAAAGAAGGTGGAAACAATCCCTAGGTTCCGGCGTTGACTGACTTAAATATTTAAACACGTGAAACAATATATAGCCCTCCAATGCTTATAACAACTAGAAAAACAAAACAGCTTCGTTACGCAAAAACAAAAAAAAGTACCCTAAGAACTCTAATTAACAACATGATCTACCGTGTGATTCTGGCAGAACGTGACCACTTGGGTGAGATGATGGCTCAGTGAGCGGATATTTCCAGAAGAGCTTCGTGGCCAACCCCATTTCCAGAAGCTTCAAAAACCCTGGATCCACACACAGGATCCTAATTTCATGGAAGCCAGGTAGCTCACTGATGAGGACGGCTTCCCGGTTGCTGACTAGGGTTGTAGGTCCCCCTCAGGCACCGGGGAGGGCCAAGGAAGGGCCCAAGGGAAAGCCACCATCTGGCTGCTGGCTCCTGGGAGCCTCACTCCACCAGGATCCCGCCAAGTGTTAAAGGCAGCCGTGTTTTCTGCTACTTGCCGCCAATTCGATTTTAAACAAACAGGCAAATTTAGGCACTAGATCACCTGGGAGTGTTTGATTATAAGGTGTTCATCCCAATGGCTTATATTTTAATTCATAATGTAAATTTAAATGCAGAATATTTTTCAATGTGTGAGGAACCTGGTTTGAGGAGCTAAAACTGCCCTAGCTGCTGCTGCTGCTGATGATGATGATGATGATGATGGAGGAAACGGCGGACACAAACATTTCCAGGACCCCTGCTAAAGGTTGCAGCTGCAACACACCGTCCTGGCTGTGGAGACGAGCATGACATTCTAATGCGAGCTGGGCACTTAGCTAAGTGCTCTGCCTGACTTTCCTTACTTCACCCTCTAACAGACCCATGGAGTCAGCAGGATTACTATCCTCACTTTATAGATGAGGAAGGGGACTCAGAAAGGCTGAGTCACTTTCCCAGATACCTGGCTAAGAAGCGTCTGGGGCAGGAGTCAAACTCAACTCTCTTGCTCCCGAGTGCTGTCCTTTCCACTGAAGCTCATGCTGCCTCCCCCAGCAAGCCTGGAGAGTGAGTGAGCCCCACCAGGGCACACACAGAGGAGGCCTGGCACACTGTTTTCAGTGGAGCCCCCTATAGCTGTAGGGATTGACGGAGTCCAAGAACAGGATGCTATGACCTTGCTCTGGTGCTGTGGCAGAACGTGTGCTTCCTTACCTCTGCCATGGTCACCCTGCCTCACACCCGGGACCTCCACGGGCGTGGAGACACATACTTAAGACACAGAACTGGGCCAGCTATGCAGAATTCACCTACTCCGGGGAAGACTCAGTATGGAAAACCGCCTAAATCCCACACGCCCTGCCAATAGCACGAGGTTACCACAGTGCTTAGGGTGAATGATGGCCCTGAGGCTGGACTGACCCAGCTCTGCCCAGAGGCTGAATCAGGCTTTCCAAGGTTATCAGCCCATGGCCAACCACCCTGCGGTGGTCAAAGGGGACAAAAGCACAGGTGAGTCTAGGTGAACCTGGACGTTGAACCCAGGTTAGCAGGAGGTCACTCCACTTTCGGAGAAGGATCTCTCTGCCCACCACAGACCCCGGAGGCCAGTTCAACAAGAGCCACCCGCCTGCTTCCTCTGCTTTGACTTTCAAATGGCAGCCATGCTGCGTGTGGCTCTGGGACCTTGGGGAATGCACCAACCCTTCCTGACCGTAGTTTCCCAATCTATGAAGTGGGGGAGATTTGGGAGATGTGGGAGCCTTGGGCAGTGGCTCTGATCCCTCTTGGCAACCTCGGGGCTCCTCCCCTGCTAGTGATTTCTCCAGCCCCCACTTTCTCCCCATACTTAAGACACAGAACTGGGCCAGCTATGCAGAATTCACCTACTCCAGGGAAGACTCAGTATGGAAAACCGCCTAAATCCCACACGCCCTGCCAATAGCACGAGGCGCACAGGACGGTGAAGCTTCAGACAGGCCGGGGCGAGATGAGCTTGGGCATCCAGAGGCCAGGAGGGAAGGCGCGGCGAGCGGTCGCGTCCCCGATGCCCGCCAGGGGGCGTCGTGCACCAGGGCCCAGGCAGGCCACCTCCGCCCGCGGCGCTACCCGCGCTGCCCGGCAGGGGTCAGCCTCGCCCGGCCGCCCCCGACCCGGCTGCCGCAGCCTCCAGACCCGCTGGGACCGCCCGCGGTGCCCCTCCCCGCCCCCCGCAGAGGCGCCGAGCGGCCGGGAGCCCGGTCCTGCCTGAGGATGCGGGGCCCTGGCTGCATCCCCCCGACACTGCCCGCCAGCTCATCACACCGAGGCCGAGGGCAGGGCCACAGCCAGGGCTCCCGCCGGGCCGGAGGAGCGGGCCGGGAGCTCAGGCGCTGCCACCGGGCGGCGAGGAAGGAGCCCCAGGCAGACCCCGGGCGGCCGAGGCGGGGAAAGAGACGCCGGGCCCCGGTTCCAGGTGAGCAGCCCCGCCCGCTCTGCCGGAGGCCGCGCTCGCTGCCCGCTCACACCCTGCGGGAGCTGCGGGTGCAGAGCCCTGGGGCGCACGTGGCCAGCCCACTGCCACACCCGAGGGACGGATTTCCGTCCCCACCTCGGCCCTGGTGAACCCTGTGGCTGGAGTACCTCCTGATCCCACAGTGATGCCCACCTCGGGGCGCTGCCAGGTGCCAGGGTAACGCGTGTGACATACAGTGTGCTGAGAAGTGCTGGCTGTCACTGTGAATGTCCGTGGTGGGGTGACGCCCGGGCAGGGTGCGCTGGCCTGGCTCCAGAAGACCGGGCCTCTCCAGCCCCCACGGCGCACCCGTTTGCTGCGTGGCCCGTGCAGGCGGTGGCTGCTCCTGGCTGAGTCATCCAGAGACAAGCGTCCAGCCCAAGCTCTCTACAGCCCTTCCCTGCGCTGCCCGGCGGGCCCCGGGAGCTGTGTCCAGCTGTGTCCGCTTAGCTGGGGTGTGACCTGCATTTGAACTTGCTGCAGAGAAAGGTGGGTGAGGAAAAGGTGAGGGTGAGGGACTGGAGAGCAGTCTCTTGTCCCCTCTCCCCCTGAGGTCACTGTCCCCTAGCTGGTGGGCAGAGCTCTGTCCCCAAGTCTTCCGAAGGAGAGGCCCACGCTGTAGGACCTTGTCCCCACTATAGGCTGAGGTTGGTAAAGGTCACAGAGGTGGTTTCTGATAAAACTTCCCTAACCAGAGGTCTCCCAATGCAGTGTGCCCCCCCCACACACACACATCCACCCTCCATGGTGTGGGTGGAGGTCAGTGAGGAGCAGACACCTGCCCGGGCACACACAGCCAGGGCGGAGACCTGGCTCACTGTCTCCCTAGGGAGGGGCCCCCTTGTTCTGTGAGAGCAGGGAGGAGATGGGTCACTGACCTGGCCAAGAGGAAAGAAAGAAAGGGTAATCAGCATGTCCCAGGAGAGGAGCTCACATTCCCCCCTCGGTCCCTCCCTCTCATACACCACCCTCTCATACACCACACATGCACACACACACACACACACACACACACCACTGGGATGTTCGCATGTATCTTATCCTTAGGACAACCCCACTGCGGGCACTGTATCTTGGAGCCCTTTCCCCACCCTTGCTTGCAGTGCCTAGCATCCACTCTAGCAACCACCTTTTTTCCATCCATACCGGCTAAGGTGGTTTTCACCAGCCAACGCCACCGTCTTCCTGGAAGGAGAGCAGGTTGGTTTTAGCCAATCAGCACATTGTATTGGTTTGGGTGGTTCAGGGAGGGGTGCGTGGCCCAACCAAGGCCATGAGGCAAGAAGAGTTGTTTGGGAGAGTAAGGAGGGCAGCTTCCCAGCAGTTTTGAGAGAGACACTGGAAGATAAGCTCTCTCTTTGTGTTGGTCATGAAAGAGTATTAGTCCCTGAAGCAAGCTGATGTCCAGCATTTTTTAATAATGAGGTGACGTTGTTGAGAAGGAAGCAGTCATTCTAGAAGCAAACAGGAGAACTGGAAAGAAACCCAGACTTGGTTAACATTGTCAAGCTGCTGGATCCAGCTATGCCTGAAGTCCATATTATGAGGATTTTTCCTATTCAAGGAGCCAATAAATCCCCTCTTTTTAACTGTTGTTTTTTTTCTTCTGCAATTGAAAGTTCCTTACCTGGTAGTGTTTTCTTTTTTGGCCAAAGAGAAAGTGGATATTCAGAAGGTATAAAGTCGCCAGATACTCAGTTAAATCTGAATAGTTTTTCAGGTCAACAATACATACCATTTTAGCAGACATTATGCCCCATGAAATACTTAAAGCACAGTTACACTACAAAATTAACTGGGCATCCTATACTTTTGTTTGCTAAATCTGGCTCATGCCTAAATTCCCAGCACTCAAAAAGGGAAAACCTGGACTTGGTCCTTAATTTGTAGTCATGCTGCAAAACTCTAGGCTTTTAGTTCCAAAGCCCCCTGTACACCAAGTCATGGGACAGGCTTCTTCCTCTCACTCCTCTCTGCCTCTGTACCTGTGGGCTCTTATCCGCCTTGCACTCAGGCCTTTGCAACCCAAATTACTGCCTGCATTGTTGCAAGAACATGCTGGCGCCTTGGGTTTGGGCCCTTGCTGCTCTCTTCAAGCAGTTGAGTGCTTGCCTGCTGCCTCCTTCTGTTCCCAGCTGTCCCTGGTCACTCCCCAGAGGATCAGGTTGGCTCCCTTCTCTGTGCTGTTCCAGCACTCCTTTCTGAGAACATTAGCAGCAGGAGCTGTCCACAGATCCCCAAGGCATGGGCCAAGATGACAATTCCCCCACAGCACTGACTATGCTTGCTTTACCTTTACGGCAGTGATTGGTTTTTAACTGCTTTTTTGCTCCCTGCAATTGAAAGGAGTTTCAGGTCACTATCAATAAACGTGATGCAAGCTCAATATAGCAGAGACAGCAGCAGAGACAAGAAGGGTGCTGGGAAGAAAATTCGGGAGCATGCCCTCCCAGGAGTCACTGCTCCATCTGTATCAATGCCGCCTGTATTTAGACAACATTGTTTCCATCACCTTGGAGGCTGCCTTTGCCTTGGACTGCCAGGACCACTATGTCAATGATGTTGATGGCTGCATAAACATCGCTTGGCTGTTTCATAATCGGGGTTTTTCTTTTTGATTCTCAGCAACTGTAAATTATGCTGTAATGATTCTAAATTTCCAGAAATTGAATGGAAAAGCCATGCCATGAGCTGCCTGTGTGCCTGGTGAGGGTCTCACATGGGGTGTTCCTGGCCCTTGACTCTCCATCTGTGGGTGGGATTCAGTCCTTGCTCTCCCCACTCATGGGACTGCTGTGCCCACCAGAGGAAGGCCATAAATGCATCCTGGAAGTCATGCTGCAAATTTACAGTGTTGTTTGTACTTATTTCTGAGCCTCTCAGGAAGCTCAGCTCCCCTTATATCCAGGTCAGCTCATGGAAAAAAATCAAATATAGCATCTGATGTGTGCTGAAGGCTTTGCCCATAATGCCCTTTCTTTCCACTTCTCGGCCCTCCGTTTGTTCCGAGGCGGTTGTCGTTATTGTTTCCATTTTATGGATTTGAGGAACTGATACCCCAAGACCTCATGACTTGACCAAGACCATTCCAAGACCCCTAGGTACACCTATGCTGAATGAACTAATACCTCACAGCGAGGCTTCTCGTTTAAAATCCAAGAAAATACCAGATAAAGGGCATTCTAAATATATTTCTTTTCTATAGATGTGGATCTCCTGTTACTGGAAAACAGGAATTAGCTTGTCTGCTTGAGGATGTGGTTGGTTCTTTATAAAAAGGATACAGAAGAAATTCGCACAGACTGCCAGCTTCATTATGCTGCCGACAGCTTCCAGCAAAAGGAGAACGTTTGCAGCCAGATATTTCAGTAAGAATTTTATTATGTTCTATGTGGGAAGTGATTACCTTTGCATTTGACTTCTTGCTTGAGGGATGGGGTCCCCGGGGGCTGTCTTGGTCTTATGGCTGAGAGCACCAGGCAGCATCTGTGGTCAGGGTTCTGACCTCCTTCAGCTCCTGGCAATGGGTGAACCTCTGAACTACTTCACCCCTGAACTACTGCAGCTCTTCTGTGTCTGTCTGAAAAACAGAGGCTTCAGGGTCCTGGGCAATAATGACTCAGAGCTCTGATTGCATTCAGAATCTATAAGAACCTCTATGTCCAAGGACCGCTGGGGTGATAGGCAAATCCTTCACAGGGAAAGGCTGTGTGCAGCTGAAGGCTGCTCTACATCCTGCTTGGAAAGGATCCAGTCAAGGGGCCCATAGAGAAAGGGTGAGAATGCCTCAGTAACCCTCAGAAAAGTATCTGGAGGTAACTGTGAGACCAAATGGGATGACTGGGTCACAGGCGGGTGCTATCTGGGTGGGCTATGCAGGTGATAATTGGCTAGGTTATGCAGGTGGGTCACAGACACGTGCTGGCTGGGTGGGTTGTGCAGGTGATGACTGTGTGTTGTGCAGATGCTGACTGTGTGGGTTGTGCAGGTGCTGGTTGGGTGGGTTGTGCAGGTGATGACTGTGTGGGTTGTGCAGGTGCTGGTTGGGTGGGTTGTGCAGGTG